AAAAAAACATACATGTAAACAGAATGTGAACTAGTGCATGGAAAGAAATTGTGATAAGTTTTATATTAACTCAAACTGTCATCTCTAAGAGAGAAATTCAATATTGTGTTTTACACTACACAGATTATACAATGAAAAGTGTTGGGGAACCAGTCAATGAGTGATGTACAGTACAGTAATCACAGGTGAGATTGACTGTCAAACACTAACAGTATAATTCTTACCATTTGATCCAAACTTAAAAGGCAGGAATTCTGAAACACTGTTTCTGGCGCAAGGCTGACGCTAATTTCATGATCTGAATAGTTATTCATTCATGGGGATGAATAAAGTATTTTGAATTCAACTGAATTGAAAACAAATTGTGAATGTTCAAGTCTCAATAAGGTACCTTAATCAGTACTTTAATACAAACACAGTACATGAATGATTGGTTTTTTTTTAAAAAAAAACCTAGATATATGTTCAATTATTGTATGTGAAAATAAAAATATTTTCAAATATCTCTGAGTTCTGCATGTGTGAGTCAGTAAGAGTTTCCAATGTCGTGTTATGAACTATCTAGGTCAACTTAGTACATAGTGCCCCTTTAAAAAACAATTTCCTGGTTCTTTTTCACATTCCCCGAAGTTGCTTTACATGAAATAGAACCACAATATTCTTGTAATACAGAAAGTTGCTAATTTTTAAGTACTGTATGTGGCTCGAAAGACCTGTCAAATCTTTAAACGCTCCCTTGATTTGCATAAAATGGACTAAATAAGAAACTACTTCTTCAGATTAAAAAAAATATTGGCACAGCTATGACGTATTGAGACGTGCTAGTTGAAGCCTTTTTTAAGAACATGCAATTGTTTTCTAATGTTCGCTTATTAAGGCTAAACTTTTGTGATTACGGTATGATACTTACTGTCATTTAACATAATTGTCCTGTTCACACAAACGCAAGATCCTGGAAATAAAAGCAGCACAAATGCTACTTTCAAGGGCACAAACCGGCACAAACCGGCACAAACGCAGCACTAATGCATTTGGTATCATCGTTTGCGGGGGGGCAACTTCACGGAGGTTTTACGACGAAAATAATTTAAGTTAAAAGTTTCCGCCTTTTACTACATCAGCCCTTTAATTGTTAAGTTAATTGCACCAAGTTAACTTCAATTTTTAACAGCAGTTGCCTACTAAGTTCTGACAACGATTCCTATGCCTTTCATTAGCCCTGTATCAGTACAAATATCCTCTTGTACAGTTTTAAATATTCTATACAGTATTTGCTGAAAGGAAGAGGTAATGTTTACCACTATACTCTATACAGTATGTTTATAATGTTAGGAACATTTTATCTCTTTGGCTGAGTTTATATTTGGCAATTATTGGTAGCAGTACTGCTAGCAATGTCAAAGTATGTTATTGTTTTTCTTAACTGAGAAAATAAGTAGCTTCACAGATTTTCCCACTAACTTCAACTAAAACAGATGACTACTGGTTACAAGAGCATAATAAATATTAATAACCTCATGGACTCACAGCACAATCTCGTTCTTCATTTTACAGTAGGCAATTTGCCTAACAGCAATTATTTCATACAGAAATAATTTGTAGTAAAAGGCAAGAGTAAACTCAGGCTTGGATAATTTGGTTATTGTGATCTTACCTCAGGCAAAGGTAACCAGGCGATTCAAATTTTGTGTATTACCCATGGAAGTTTTACTGATAAAGATTTGGAAGTAAGGGTTCAAAAATCAGAATTGTTGGAACCCTTACTCTACTCTATTTTACAATCCAGGTGCTATTCTGCAATAAATTGCAAGCAATGAACTTTGTTAAAACATTCAGTTAAGTGTTTTATATCAATCGATCTTTTTGATTAGGAGGAATTTCTGGAATTGAAACACATCTGGGAATAACCGTGTATCATGAGCTTTTCCCAAAGGGCTCACTAACACTATACATTCTCCAAATTTGTCTCGAAAGATTATCGGCACCTCTGAACAACAGGAGAGGCAGCCAATTAATGTTGATCCCCGTAAGAAAGAAACAAATCAAGGGAGTTATTTTCTTTGAGATAAATAAACGAGAATCTGAAAAACAAAACAAATGGTATGCCATTAATTCACTGCTTAAAAGGCCTTGGAATCCCATCAGTGAAATTAAATTCTTGTACCAGCTCAATGTTACCTTATTTTCTGAATTTACAATGCATAGGCAAATCTGAGAGAAAGAGAGATGTTTATTTCCAACATAAATTAAGCATAACTTGTCATAGTAACAGCACAATTGTATCAAGTGTTAGAAATTCCCCAAGTACATCTTGAATAAGAAATACCATCTGATAATGTAGTGATTTTTTTCACCAACAAAATACAAATGGGAAACACTTCAACGTGATTCCACTAAATTAAAATCACAGTGATACAAATGCCAAATTGCCCAAAGAAAAACTGATTTAAAATATTTTTTTTTGCAGAAAGAGTCAAATCATTATGTCTAGATTAATACAAGTTCATTACACAGAATTTATTCTTGTCTACAAATGTTTTCAGTCAAGGTATTTCTATTGAAAGCCAGTCAAACTAATTAGGGCGGATTTTGTCTCATTAAGCACATAGTGAAATTAATAATCAGATGTTGCGGTATCTCTATTGCAAGACTAGTGTCCTTTCTTAAAAGAAACATGTAAAATATTTTATAAGCAATCTGCTCTAAAACATGATTTGTACCCATAGCTTTATTAAACCTGTCCCATAAATGTTTTACTCCCATTAGTTTCTTTGTATTTAAAATATATTTCCTGAAATCATGGCAGCTAAGGCTGGCACAATACTAAATAACAGACAATATATAACATTTAAGGAGGAAAAAAAGCATACGTCTTGTCATCATCTGTGAAGCACTGCAAAAGCAGCATCTGTTAAGGTTAACACTTAAGAGACAATTCTATAAAAAAAAGAATCTGAGAATGTGCAGATGCTAGCACTCTCAGTGGAAAGGAGTTATACCGTCTCCACTTAAAATTCTTCTTCACATAATCTGCTCATACACAGGGCAATATCTTTGCACAAAAATGCATATATTAATCTCAAGCACGATGCAAGTTTCCATTCAATACTGTATACATTTTATCTTGACACATAACGGTCTTGGTTTCAATGTGTTTTTTCATTCACATTACAGATCATTTTTCACAGTTACAACAACAAAAAAATACTTCCTGAACGGGACTTTCTACATCCTCATTCCAAAGAGATAGGACACTTGCTATCAGTACTCACCAATTCTTGCGTCATTTATCGGTACAAGTTTGTTTTTTTTAAAGAAAACTGAACAGCAAACCCCATCACAGCTGCTTTCTAAACAAAAACTTCATATCACAATATTGAATCGGTAAACTCTGAAGCTTTTAACAAACGAAATAGAAAAATGAAGCAAAAGGCTGAGCAAGAGAAGTATAGTTCAGTTCATACCGTCTTATGTAGCTTTTTAAATGTACAACTTTAAAAAAGTAAGGTAAAACTGAAATGAGTTACAATGCAAAAAATAATGAGTATCGCCAGTGATGACCTTGAATGGATTAAATATGGCAAGTTTACATGGCATTATGTTAGACTGAATACTCAGGCATTCTTACGAATAGGTTAGTTATTTTTTTCTTAAGATAAAGAGCACTGTATGACAAAATCAATAAGAACAGAGGCTTGTCTGCAGGACACTGTGGATACATAATTTTCTCCTTAACACCACATCACTGCCCAATTTTGTTTTCAACCACTCTGCACTACTAAAGCATAAAGGTCTTCATAAAAGAGGTGGTTTTCAAACAAAAATGAAGGTCTTGCAGTCACACCATCTTGAGTTTCGTGAAGAAAAACATCTTCCAAAAATTCAAGTAAGACCAAAATGTGTTGGATTTATCGCCCAGCAGCCTCGACAAAGATTTCAGGTGCTGGAGGTCCAGAGGTGCATCTGTCTCGCTATCTGGTTGACGAAGCAAATATCGGGTCTTTGATCGGGGTCTGGATTGATGCACATGCTGACCAGCTCCCGCAGCTGAAGAAAGAAGAAGAGACAGTCCTTCAGGCATTGTGACAGAAGTGGAAGAGGGGTAAACCTGCAAGATGAGTGTCTACCTGTTTAACTGAAGTTGTTACAACTTGAACTCACAAACATTTAGGAGAAGAGACAACCCCACTGCCCACCAATCACTATCAATGATATGAATACAGCCCTTGATTGTAGACCACTATCACCCAGACGTTTTCACACCAGCATCTGTCTGCCACCCTCAACACTACCAACAATGCAGCACCCTTTGCATTCCTCGAACGTATGTCTGTTCTCAAAATCACATTATTAGGGGTTGTACCTTCTGGAACATACACAAAAATGAGTCAGTAAAAGTCAGTAACAGATGTGGAGTCATAATGACTATTAAAAGAGAATTCAGTGGGATCCCTGAAGTTTCAGATGGCTTACACACCCAGTTCAAATCGCTCGCAGTCCGCATGTAAAGAATTGTCATATATCTCATCTCCTATGTCTGAGCCCTCAGTTTGCTTTGTTGGTTCCCTGTTCGCGGAGACCAATCATACAAAAATAAAAAATCTATAGATTTTGATCTTCACTTTATTCATTTAATTGTCAGATTTCCGTGTTCCTTAAAGGAGAACTGCAGTCCCAGTTCCTCAGACTGGTTATTAAATCTGGGTAATGACATAAATTCACTGATGGAACGGATGAATTAAATGTAAAATCCGGACCTTTGTGAAAGCACTGCATGGTCGCTATTGTTGTTGCAAGCCACTGGTCTTGCCACGGCTGAGAGTGAGAGTTTGTGAGAGTTGTGACTTACAGTAAACCGGCCCTTCCTGCTCTTTAGTCACCTTAATGACTAATGTAATGTGAAGTTCGAGGGAATAAGTACAGGTTGGGTAACAGACATTTCACTGTAGAAATGTTCCAACGTGATCTGCATTCAGAGTTAACAAATAGTCTTTGTCGGCCAAACCATCTCCAAGTCAAGAGCAATATTTCTATTGGATTAAAAGAGATGTTTTCACAAGCCTGCTGGTTTACAATGTCTTAGGGCTGCTTCACGTCATCAGAAGTTTTGTTGCCGCGTTCTAAAATGCAGACAACGAAGGCCATTTTGGCGCAGAGCAACCTGGAAATTTAGTCCATTTTTTATATTTATTTAACATGTTACTGTGTACGTTTTACTTTCACTGTAGTGTGAAATACATTCATCAATGCCAATTCTTTTTAACCCCGAAATATAAGAATAGTATTGCAGTTCCCCTTTAAACAACCAAGGTCAGAAACTTTAACTTTTTACAACGTATCCAAACCATGACCTTTGACTCCTATTTCGGTGCTGAAGAGAAAAAAAATGCAGCGATGGATTTTTTGTTGTTGCTGTGGTTGGGTGCTTGGAAACAAATCTGTCTCTTATGTGGATCCAAAATTCTAGCACAGGGGAGCCTATAAATGAAAACTGATGTCCTTAAACCAACTGCGTCGTCTTTTTCTTTGGATTGTGGAACCCTATGGGTGCCTAATCTTTTAAAAAATCTTGCAATATGCTTTTTAAGCAAATTGTTCATCTATAGCATGCATGCTGAAACGCACTATTTTGTCTGTAGTCCAAACTGTTTTTAAAACAAACCCTAATAGCATCTGGAACATATAAGCAATAATATCCACTACATTGGGGATCATTTCGCACCTTAAAGTAGTGCAAAAAAAAAAAAACAGTGACATGTCAGCATTTGCTGAACAGCAGTTTGTGGTTTGGAAAAAGGAAAAAAAGGACGACTCCTAGCTCATGATTTGATCTGCATTTCATTAGCTGAGTTAGTACATTTTACTGTCACTGCAAGTACCTACTCCCTCTCCCCACTTTTCTACCTTCAGAGATGCTGCCGGTTGTCCCAGGCACTAATTTTTTTGCAACTCTATTTTTTTTTACCAACTTGCATTGCAGGCCTGCGGTATTCACCAGAATGCGCTACTGAGGGGAAAAAAAAAACCCCTCTAGAATGCAAATACAAAATCTGGTAATCAATTTAAGAATATATATATATATTAAAAATAGTTCTGCCTCCGTCATTTACGAAGATTTGAAATAAAATACTACGAACGAGGATATGTGAAATCTGACCTTTAAAAGCTGTGCTTCTAACATACTGCTGTCACTTGCCTCAGTAAAAACACAGGGTTTGGTGGGAGGGAGGGTGGTGGGGAGCTGCAGGCTTGTGTACCAGATAACAGAGTAAAAAGATATACAAGCCTTTGTCTGGCCTCGTTTCAAGCCCTGTCAGGCTGCCTGTTTGGAGTCTAATACCATCTGGTATCCTGCTCCCTGGGAGCTGATGATCTGGAGCCTGCGTCGTTCCTTTCACACTCTCAGCAGTATCACTACACTGACTCTCAATCACTGCCAGGAGGGAATCTTGCAGTGAGGAGGGATGCTGTTTGCCTTCAACACACAGACAGGCTCAGCGCTCTTCCGAAAGACGGGGAGATTCAGTTATTAATTGTGTATTTCTGATTTTTGAGTGATTAATAGGGCATCTTGCCCTGCTTGGGGTTTTTTTTTTTAGTACTGTGCTGCATTTTCAAAGCCAGGCCAGCTCTGACAGACGTGTAAGATTTATGAATTGCAGGAAACCATTTTTTTTCCCCCCTCAATCCAATCTAATTAGACCTGCCCATCAAAAGCTTATTTTATCTCCTCAGGAAGCCCACAATGAATATTCTGACCAGTGTTTGTGTAACTCAGATTTGTCTAAAGTCAATTTCATTAATTAACTTGTTTTCATGCAGTCTTCACGCAGGGAGGAGCAAATTATGCCAACAAGCCTTGCCAGGTAGCTCATTCTTATCTGTGCTTCTGGCTATTGACTTTCTAACCTCTTCCATTCAGATCTAAATCTCAAGAAGCACAAGAAGCACCTGACTTGAGCCACGTTTGTCTGCATTCTTCCCAGTTTCCTGGGTCACAAAGTTCTTACAAGTCATGCTGACTTATTCTAGCCATGACCCAGCCAAAATCTGAATCCAGCTATCTCCCAGAATACCAGGCCAATGAATTCACCTCCAGCGAACAGTCTAAGTTTAATAGTAAAAGGAGAAGTCAAAGTCCTTACCAACAGCTCACTGGACCAGAGCACATTCTGGTTTCTGTAGAAGTAAGCTAATTAGAGAGAGTCTGGATCCCCTATTGGGTGGGATACCATTTATAAATACTATCTCAGAAAATGCATTTGTAAATATTACTTACAGATGCTATGTAGTACACAAATAGGAGTACACACAACTGGAGAAAATATCATTAATGGCCTTATTGTCAATGTTGTATATCCAAGTATGTGAATAAGTCAGCAGTACAAGCATTGTACAGGTAGGGCTATCAGTTGAAAAGATTACAATGTATAGACTCATCTTATTTAAGTCCAACTTCTCTCACTGACTTCACTGCACAGAACTTAAGATCAGGTTTCTTGAACAACTGATTCTAGTCCTTCTGACCTCATGTTTCTCACGCCGCTGATCAAATTTGAACCAAAACTCACTTCTTTTCCGGCTTGTGTTCTGACTCCGTGCCGACAGATGATCTCAAATTGATTAATCTTCCATGACAAACCAGAACATATGCTTTCCCGCTAAGCCAATTAAGGCAAACACACCGGTAAGCGTTCTGAGATCCGCAGTGAACCATGTTAGATCTGAGGCTGGAGCACTTTTCCCCAGGACAAGGCGATTCATTTAAAGCTCAGCTGTGGAAAAGCTAGACCAGTCTTCCAAACATAGAGATCTAATTTTTTTTCTCCAAATATTTTATTATATAACAGATCTCTACGGTTTTTGAATATGTGTTTCACTTTGTTCTTAATTCTTCAATTATTCATCACCCAACACTTTGCTAACCCATTTTCTGAGAATTCTGTTGTTTCAACAGCTACGCAGTTGGCTTTATTATGTGTGCAGATCCCTGCTACAAAAGCAAAGAGACATCCTCTTGATTTGTTTCAGAAGATACTATGTTTTTGTAATTATGTAATGTGATATCCCTGGACCTTTGCTTTTCATCACCATTAATCTTGATACAACACTAGGCCTGATCAACAATCATCACACATTGTTTTCTTTTATCTGCTGGAAGCTAACAGGTTTATATTGCAGGTGTTGTCAGACATCGGTGTGAACTCATTCAAATCATTTTATGGATACACTATTTTTAATATTAATCTGCAGTACCCTTGGGAATTCAGATAAAAAAGTAAGAATATACGATGCCTTTAGTCTTTCACAGTTGATCCTTAATAAAAACAGTCATTAGTCCCTGTGTTCTTGAAATAACCAGCAAGTCAATTTGCTTATTAATAGGATTCACAATGGTACGTCGTATTCACCCCCTGACCCCTGCAATCAAATAAACAGGTTTGCTCTGTTTCCACATCTATCATTTTGAACCTGACCCAAATCCAGCCACTGGCCCCGCGTGAATCCTCAGATACATGCAAACTCCATATTCCACTGCAGGGATGGCCACACAGCTGTCCCTAGAGAGTTCGGGGAGGCCTGCGGTATTTTCTACATTGCAGACACGGCCTCAAAGTACGACGCCTGCACACCTACCCCCTCTGCTTATTTTAGACGGCTAATCTCCTGTTTTATATCAAGTAACATGAATCATCTCCAAATACAGATCTGCTTTTCAACATACAATTCAGAGACTAAAGATCATTATGCAGTATATTGCCCATCACTAGATTGCTGTCTTCTTTGTTTTAGCTTTGTTTTGATATACAGGGCAAGATCAATTTGTAATAATGCAGAACCATGCACTACAACATTTTGCAGCTTATGTAAACAGGTAAGTTGGTCTGGATGCCACCAAGACATTAAAAAAAAAAATTGAACATTCCACCACGCTCCTTAAAGGTATAATGCCACAGTGTTTCATGTTGTTATGATTTATCCCCCAGCTATGGTCATGAATTAATGCGACTTTCTTTCTCTCCAGCAGTGCTAGATCCAGCCCTCCATCTGAGCATACTAACACCTTCTTTTTCCTATCATCCACACTGAAGAAAAAGTTGGCTTTATAACTAGCTCTAGAGGGTAAACTTATGCTTTTGCAGTACCTTAGGATTATGGTTTTATGCAGACAGCCAAAGATAAATACAATTGATTTCCAGGTGGCAACTATCCCCATTGAACCTCTTTGCTGACCTTGAGGGCGTAAGGTGTTCTGATTACCAGACTTCGTTGAGAGTACATTATTGTGAACATCCAGCTGACAGCTGAGGGCAAGTCGGGAGACTGCCGTGATGGTGCTGAACAACACCAGAGGTTTTTTCACACATTACTGGAGGCAAAGATGGTGTTATTCGCCTCTGTGAGACTCTGGAAAGATTTGAAAGACTTGGGCCATCTCTTGCTCCGCTGAAGTGGAACGAAATTCAGAACCGTGCTTGTGACATACACCTGGCATTGTGCAGGGCTCGCTAGTAGCACCCCTGTAACGCCATCTTTCCTGAACCACTGGCCTAGAAAGCTTGATCCGCTCGGTTAACTTCTTTCCACCCGCGTGCAGCACTTACCTTATCAGAGTAGTGCTCAGGTGGGAGTGGAGGGTAATCGCACTGCTCAATTTTTTGGCACAGAGACAACAAGTTCATTTTGTCACCGTAGAAAGGGCTTTGAAGGGCAGCCATCTGCAGGGAGAAGAAAATAGATGAGTCTTGGTAACCAGTGTTATTAGGGAACCGATTTTCACTACTTGCTAATGAGAAGCACTTCAGGAATTGAAAAAAGCAGGCCAAAGCACTGACTTCAGTGAACATCCTGTTGTTGTTTTTTATCTAAAGGAGAGCCGAAAGAGCACAGCTAGTTTAGCTTTGAACATCAAATATTTAATAGCAGACAGATATAAACATACCTCGAATGGATCTGGAGGCTTTGGAAAAGAAAAGTTAAGATATGGAATATGGAAACACATCATCTTTGTTGGATATTAAATAGGCTTTGTTGAATAAAATATGGTAGGCGTCAGAAAATGTGAGAGCAATTCCCTTCAACGTCAAAGCTGTTGTGTGGGCTTCATCATTCCTATGGCATCTCTGCAGATGTAAAGCAACTTGAAAAGCAACAAGAATACTTTATAATTGTTGTAAGAAATGTTCAGTTCAAGCATCAGATGGTTTTTCTGGTAAAGAAAGTCCAGTTGCATTTGTTAAAACCCTTGTGTTCCTAGGATTCCTAGGACAGAATTGGCCATTACCACTAAATTCCCCCCTCCTTAATAGACGATTGGATAACATTGCAAAAATTGCAAGGTCATCTGTTTGCAAGCGTTTAATTCACCCTGCCACTTCTAGAATGATCCTACCGAATCTACATCAAAAGAGGGCACAGCCACTTTTAGAAAACCAAAGACTTTTGTGTAAAGTGTCTTCTGTATTCTGTTGTTCTGATTCTCTTCTGAGTTAGTGTGCCAGAACGCTCACCACACATCAGCTCTCAGTGGGGAGGAGAGCAGAGTGATGAAGCCAATTCAGAGATGGAGATTATTTGGAGGACATGATTAGTAAAGGCTAATGGGAAATTTGGCCAGGATGCCAGGGTAACACCCCTACAATTCAAGAAATGCCCTGGGATTTTTAATGGCCACAGAGAGTCAGGACCTCGGTTTTATATCTCAGCTGAAGGACAGTGCCTTTTATAGTGTCCCCATCACTATACTGGAGCATTAGGACCCATACAGACTGCAGGGTGAGCATCCCTTACTGGTCCCAGTGACACCTCTTCCAGCAGTAACCTTAGTTTTTCCCAGGAGGTCTCCCATCCAGGTACTGACCAGGCTCACACCTGCTGAGATCCATCGGGCTACCAGTTGTGAATTGCTGGGTGATACGGCTCTTAATATCACATCTCACCCGGACAGGTAGTATAACTGACACATCATACTCTTCTCATTTGCTAACACTGCCTTACAAATGAACGTCAATCAGTATTAATGATACCATTCCTCTTAAAGGACGCAGGATTTTGGTGGTGGCTCAATGTGGCTTTTCAGTTGAGGTATTTTACATGCAACCCATTACGTTAAAATATGTTCTTTTTCTTTTTTTCACTCTCCTGTGTAAATGTTCACACAGAAAACACTGTGTTTTTTGTACTATACAGGCAATGGAGATCCCCAAAAAGATTTCAGTCTATATTCAAGGAACTACTACATTAATCCTGAACAGAAGATGGGTTTTCTGAGAATTTGATTTTAACCTCAAACCAGTGAAAATATTCATCACATTTTCCACCAGAACTTTGATCAGCACCTGTAATGTGTTACTTCAACTAGAATCCTAATTAATTTAAAGCCTAGGTGATGAAATATGTCTTAAACTTAATCTACCAAAACTATCACAGGACATAAGACTATCATCCCCTTTAATCTACAAAGGGGAAAGCTTCATGTAGCAATGCTTTAAATGAGATCTGCTGAAGTCAGACTGCTTTAAGCAGAGAAATATGAGAATAACACCTGCGCCTGACAAATTCATTGGCAACTACATAGGAAATAATGTAGCAGTTTGATGTTGTCTCAGGTTTGTGATTGACTGCAGACTTTTAAAGATTCAAGTCTCAGTTAAGTTTTTTAAAGGCAACGATCAATGTAGAATGGATAAGAAAACCGAAGTTTAATACTTTGTGAACAAAACCGCATCTTTTTACAAGGGGGGCAGATATTCGTACGTGGGCAGACAGAATAGGAAAGCATATTCCCATCATGAAGATGTCCACTTCACAATTTAAGACAGTACGCAGAAACAAAAACTCCGCCGAGTTTTCTTTTCAAAACGAGGTGCAGACCTGGATTAAAAAAAAAAAAAAATCTGATTGTTTTTCGCAGCTTTCTGAGGAAAATGATTTGTGTCCCGCACAATAAAGCAGAATGTGACAAAGAATCTGAAACACGAGCTCGGTATATTGGTGGGAATTCTATCTCTTTTTTTTTTTTTTTTTAAATGCATGCAGTGTATTCTTTTGACAATGTCAAAAGAGCCCGGAGGCTGTCTCTCTTCCTACTGTCTCTCGAAATAACGGCAAAACCAAAATGCTTCATTTACATACTAAGGAACCAATAGCGCTAATGGGGATTGTCTTCAAAAGGCGGCTTGTGCAGCGCGATGGAGCTCAGTAAGCGACAAGCATGTCATCGCAGCATGTAGCCCCCAGAGTGCCCCAGCTGCTTATTAATCCATAATGCGATTCAAGTGTTTCTTGTCACTCCGGCTTACTATCATATCCAGCACCAAATCATGGAATAATACCTCATTCTAATGAATCAGCATTGGATAATTGTTGATATTATCTCCCTTTTTCCCCCCCACCCTGCAGGGGCTGTTCAAAACTCCTCCCGAAAGCTGTGGCAACCGAGATTTTCTTCTCATTTCCTCTCCCATTTCTCGCCCCGCGTTCTCCCGTCTTCCGGCTGTGGCTGCGTGCGAAGTCGAAGTCCCCCAACGACGTGTCTTTTTTTTAATAAGGGGAATGTTTGATAATTGTTCCGACCTTTCACCCCAGGATGCAGCCTGGGCTCATTAGCAGGGGCGGCGAGCGCCTGCCAAGGGTGGTCTGTCTTGCAGATGACAGCCACTGCCACCTCACCGTCCTATTATAACAAGACCCCCCCCCTTCCACACACACACAAACCCCACCCCATCTTGCCCTGGTTCCACTGCTCTTCAATCACAGCACAAGCTCTCTTTTTCCTGCCGTGTCATGGAATACCTGGTGAAAGGTCAAGAAACGGACAATTGCGTCAATTTACTTCTCATTTTAGCGGCCCACTGCTGATAAGAACCTGGAAACGCACCTGATAATTCAGGAAGTATACCTCTGGGCACCGGGCACCCATCCCAGGTCAGAGCTAATGTCTTATGCTTCCGAAACTGGAACCCAGGTTTTTATAAGGTAGTTTCTCCAACTGTGATTATGTTAATCCTACTGTAGGCCAAGATGACCATTAAGGTAAGCTCTGGATTAGCGACAGTTAGAATCTGTGAAATCGCTGATAATGCATTGAGAACACATGCCAACCCAAACGCCAGACCACCTACCAGTCATCAATTAGAAACCTATTACTTCATTTCCCTTGAACAGCAGAAGGGGTCCCTTTAACAAACAGAAAGCCACCATCAAATACTAAGTAGACATTTAACAGCTGGCAGGTGGCTTGGAGGTGTGATTTATCCCTGGCCATAGGTAGCATCTGATTGCTTCCAAGGCCCCGAGTTCCTTTGTGCTAAAGCCACATTCCTAGTTATACAACAGATCTCGAGTTACCCTGAGCTCTTGGTACTGTAGTAATGATTTCTCTCACTCCTGCAACACTTACAACATTTTTGCTTTTTAATTAACTTATTAACATCCAGGAGCAAGTAAACTCATCCCCCCTTATCAGAAGGAAAACAACAAACTGCAGCTGACAGAAGCTCTGGAAGAAGGTTTAACTGTCAATACGACTGTAGATGTATGTTTCTAAAAAAGAGCTCTAAATGTCCAAATGCTTTACAGTTATATTAATATTAATCGCATATGTAGAGATCGTATATATAAACCAACTTTAACCACAGTTATGTAGACAACAACAACAGAGTGGGACAACAAATTTTAGTCAAAATATGTGCAATGGAGTTTCTACAAGAGAAAATAGGACAATTTACCTAAAACCTGCTGTTTTATTTCCTAATTCACAAAAGATTTAGTGGAAAATGTTTAATTTGTGCCCCAAAGTTCCAAAGGATATCACGAGGGACAATAATCCCTTTTCTTTGATCAAATCCTCAGAGCTTAAAGTTCTTTTTCTGACTGAAAAGAGAAGCACTCTATAGAAGACTATATGGATTATGGTATGCTAAAGTCTTAGGATAACACCTTTAACTGCTCCTTTAGTCAGCTGGAAGCACTAAAGGCTGTAAGAGTCAAATTTAAAATAATAATGCCTGGCTGAAATTGAATGTGACCTGTGTGCTTAAAACTCCAAGAGCTTCCAGGCAGATATCTATTTTTCCCTTACTCCAGTTGAGTGGCTTAATATTCTTCTTCAGATTCTTTCTACTTCGAGTATTGCTGCATCATAACGAACACTTTCTGCCACTCGTGACTGAAATGTGAGAAATTCCTAGTTAAGCCTTGGCATTTCTGTGCATTGCAATGCCCTGAGCTTTCACATGAGAGGACTGAAAAAAAGGTGTGGAATTCATGGCAGGATTAGAATCTATCTGGCAAAACTGTAAGAGCATCTGTGTACTCTATTGAAGCATTCTAGGTGCTTTTGTAACCTATAAGAAACACTAGACCACTTCATTTGCTTGAGAGAAAAAAAAACAAATATTCTAACTTAATATATCTAACCTGATAATAAAGGAATACATTAGTAATTTTAATGGATTCTTAAACAAACTAAGAAATTGATTTAAGACCAACTATTCCAGCCATAATTCCTCATGAACAGGGGCATGGTGGCTTCCAAAATAATCTTGTTTTCAATCTATTAAACGTGAATGAATAATCACTTAGAATACTTACAATTTGTAAGGGATTTTTTCCCAGTGCTGATACACACTAAAGAAAAAAACCCACTGATATGAAACTTCAAAATAAAAGACTTTTAATTAGACCTAATTCCATAATAAATTAATGATTTGATTGA